GATGCACAGGCATTGAGGGGCTGCACCTGAAATGCTCTCCTCCTGGGGTGCACAGGCATTGAGGGGCTGCACCTGAATGCGCTCCATCCTTTACTGCCCCTGAGATAAGAATCCCAGAATGAAGCCGCTGAGCACCCATCAAAGCCCTCAACGCGGCTTGTGCCTGGCACACACAAAAGGTTCCAAGGCGCAAATAGAGACTGATTAACTGCTAAGTGACAAACGCCCTGTTCCAAAAGCAGATTCTACAACCCCATCCAGCTCCCCAGTAAGATTCCCATGTTAATAAGAAGCAACATCCAGAATCCCAAAGTAATACGATCCCCAGACACGAATCACCCACTTAAGGGTGTATTGAAATGTCTGAATTGGACCCCACCTGAGACACTAATGTGTGTTTATCTCTGGGAAAAAAAAAAAAACATGACTTAGGAATAGCCAAAAGACCCCAGGCTTGCAAACCCAAGTTCCTATGGGGGTGGGTCTTCTGATTCCCCATACCCATGGTGCTAACACTAAACCTGCTTTTCTTGGCTGTGAACTGTCTCCCCACCAGCTTCCCCAGGAAAAGGAGACAAGAGGGGTAAGGAAGAGGCGCTAAGATCCGCTGAGATTTTATCAGCACCGAGCCCTCTGCAGGTCACTTCACGTCAGCTGCTCCACGTTCATCCTCAAGTGGCCTGGAAAATAGACTCAATTATCCCACTAGGATGGTGAGAAGTCAACACGGTAAGAAGCTAGGTATCAAGGTCCAAGTGACTCCAGAACTGCATTCTTTCTGGTAGCTTCTCTCCCAGCCATGGACACCTGAGCAGAATCTTAATCTACGAAAAGAAACAACACAAAAAGTCCCCACTTTTGAGAAAAGCAAGAGTGACTCAAGTCTTACTTTTCAAACGCATTAAGAAGCCTATGCCTCCAGAGACAAAATTCATTCCTGGGAAACTATTAGTAATTTTATTTTCTTGTTCCACTAGGAGCTGAAACTAAGACCAAAAATTTCCATTTCTCCAACAAAAAGGGAAGGAAAGTGTCACAGACCCGTGCTATCTACCAAGAACTCCTTCCCCTCCTCCTGAACTTCAAATCCAGTTTCAGTGTGTCACAGAAAGCCATCTGTCCTCCCTAACTGCCACTGCTCAAGGGACAGATCACACAAGCAGAGCACAGGCCGGGTCGATTTACAAACTAAGAACATTATCTTCTAGTTCACCTTGGAGGGATATAAGGCGAACCACAAAGCCCATCAGCAAGGCTACAATTCGAGCCTGAACTCATTAGAAGCTACACTGCTAAACAATTTCCAGATTCACCACAGGTACAGCTGTGTCCCCAGTTACAAAGTAATGGTGTGTGTAAAACACATAAAAGTCCTCCAAGTCGAGGTTTCTCCAATGCCTAGCGTTAACAGCCTGTGCTGATCTACCATATAACTCACGCGTACACACGCCCATAGGGAGTGCAATGTGCCAGCGCCTCTCGGAACACGCCTGGGACTGCGGCCCGGGTGGAAGGAGCATTGCTTGCATTTTGCTGTTTACTTTGTGATTGGGTTCTTTCTTCTAAATAATAAAACCATTATGTCTTCATAAATGCATTCTCCAAACACAGAGAGATTCTTCTTCTGGGATTCGCCCTAACGAGCCCTTCCTCTACAGCAATCCTGCCCCCACTAGCAATAACACAGTAGATGAGAGAAACAAGGGTGACAGCCTCCCACAGGCACAGCTGGAAGGATTCCAGTGCCAGCGTAGATGAAGTAAGCAAGGCGGTCTGTAAAAACTGCCTGATCGGAACCTGCTGAGGTGGAGCCTGTCCTGTGAACACACAAGCCAGGTGGACTCAGGCTCGCAAGGAGGGAGCCGTAAACCAGAGAAGCGCAGAGCAGGTGCACGGGCAGTTCCCATGCTGGACGCACGGAACGTGACCCGGCTGGACCAGGGCATGGCTGTCCCCAGGCCCAGCAGGTCACCGTCATGACCAGTTCCTGAGTGAGGAGGGCTGAATGCCTTGACCCACCTGTGTCCTCCAGGAGCGGGAATGTGGACTACACGGACAGGGCTCCAATCAGTCCCCTGAATCCTGAGTCCTCCCCAGAGCCACCCTCAAAAACCCTGCGCTGCCTGTAACTTGACGGCGACGGTGTCCACACTGCGCTCCCTGCCTTCCAACTCGGCTCCCCTACGTGTGCTGCACATTTCTTATGTGTGTGTTTGAGCCGTTTTTAATCTGCGGTGTGTCTACTCAGCACATCATCCACCCATCAGGCCTCGAAGCCCAACACACACTTCACAAGGCCACGTAACTCACGAGCACCAGGGCCTCAGGCAAAGCTTCTCCCACCACGTCTGTGGAATTGGATAATATTCTGAGATGCCAAGGTAAAAATGTTTTCATTTGCAACTACTTGTCTTTGTGATTCAGTTTTTTTTCAATATTGGGCAATAGAAAGAAATAAGAAGAAAATCTAGGGGGAAAACAGTTGCTGAGGCTCTTACACGCCTGTAGCCGCCAGCCTCAGGTTCTCCTTCCAAATCTGTGCCTTCATGGGACCAGCCTGATCATTCTTCCCTACTGACTTATAATAAACACATCATGCATATTTTAAACTTCTAGAATACATGTATTGAGCACCCACACTTTACTAGGGTGACTTTGATGATTAAATGAAATAATGTATTTAAAAACACTTTGTAGTTTTATCGCATAATGTTAATCTTATACATCAGTAATTAACAGATATTAGCCCAATTCCTGAACCAAAGTTCAAAGAAGATTCCCTCGGGCCTCTCCTGCACGGAAACCCCTCCCTGCCCTTATAGTCCGATAAAGCAGTACAATTTCCAAGCGTTTTGAGAACTGCAATTAATTGCTGTTTCACAGCTCCTCGGTGGGGGATAGCTAGGAGGGCTGCAGGCAGGGTATCAAGCTTGGGTTAGAATGGAGGAAACAGGACCATTGGCGCCTAGGAGAGGGGAAGGAGGAGGGGGACGTGTTCCCTAGGCCACGGCCCCCTTGCCAGCCAGCAGCCTCTCCCAAAGGACAGGGAGCTTGTTTCTCAACTGACTTAAGGCATTAAGATCCCAGGGGCGTGCAGCCTCACGCATTAGCACTGATTAGCTCCCAAGTCATCCATTAGCACTAGAGGCCTTCTCCGGGAAGAAGGCCTCCGCAGGGACTGCAGAACGCAGGGGCTTGTGAGCATTGATTCCAGGAGAGTGCGCTCCTTCTTTCTTTAAAGAAGCCCATCGCCCTAGAAAACATTCCAACCCACTGTCTGATGGCAGTGGCCCCAATCCGTGCAGGCTGCGCCCCGCGGAGGAGCTTGGTCACCCCCCGGGTGGGCAGGGCTAAGTTAGGCCTCTGGTTACCGTCCCCGCTACCTCACCCTTTTCTATTTCTCCTTCGCACTTGTTCTCCGCTGCATGAGGTCTGTCAGAACAGAGGTCCCTGTGTAGACTACAGACAGACACACAGGCATGCCCAGGGAGGGAGGTAAGGGCGTAACGGGGTTGGGTGGGGTTTGCTCTCTGCCTGCCCCAAGGCTGGGAAGAAGGGGTCTGGGCAGAGGATGGAGCGGACTCAGAGGAAGGGCGGCCACTCTTGCAGAGACTTCCTCAACTTAGCTTTTGTCCCCTGGGGATTTGGAGGCAAATCACAGCTTTGCCCCATGTGCACCTCCCAAAAGACTCGGTCTTCCTCCCCCCTCTGAGGCCCCACACAAGCACTGGGCTCACCCCCAGGCTAATTCCAGCCTCTGCTTCATGCCGTGAGAACTTGCAAGCAAGTGAGTGAGAGGCAAGGGTTTTATTTCCTGTTTGGACAGGTTCCCAGAACAGATAGAGTCTTTCTGGTCTCAATTTATACAAACGTCCATGGGGCACTTTGGCACCCAGAGTCTCTGTTTAAAGGCCCCCAAAAAACCCCTGGCTGAAGCTCGTTCTGTTCTGTCTTACAGATGGGAAGACACAAGGCGAAATGCCGTGTCGATTCTCATGGGCAGCTGGGGCCTCATGTCCTCAAATTATAAGCGGTGATGACACTGGATTTATAATTTAATTAAATCAAAATTTAAATATCAAACTCTAAAAATAAAGTACAAGAAACGTTTTGCCCTAAAATCATTCAGCAAGGAGTGAGTGGGGAGTGAGCATGTTACTTACAGAAAACCAGATAGATTATTCCATATAGATACTTTTATAAGAATATGTGAGAGCATCTTATTCTTTGAAGAACAAGGGCTCACATCATAAGTCCCATGAGAAGCTCTTATGAGCATATAAAGCAGTGTCAGTTACAAATTTAAAATCAAACAGTACCAAGGGGGAGCTCCTTTTTCGGCGCTTTAAAATTTCAGCCACGGTGGCCAAGGAATATTCATAGGAATAAATGTCACTCATGTCACAGAAGGAAAAGCTCATTCCTGAGCCAATCAAGACACGGGCGCCAACACATTCCGCCACTTAAAATGGCCACAGATCAGATGACCGGTGGCTCAGCAGTTTGGTATGAACAGCTGAGACAAGCTGTAATTTGTGGGTTTATCTCATTGCTCTTTTCCTGAAGAATATTAATATTTCATTTGTTTAGAACTTCCCAGGACCAACAAGACGACTGAGAGAAAAGTTGGTCTTGGAAATTTCCTTTTCCCAACTTTCCCAAATATTTGCACATTCATGCAAAATCCAAGTCCATCGTAGGGGACCTATACTGGCAGATCACGGAATCGTGTTATTCCGAGGCGATTAAACAACTTTATTTCACAAATTCGTCCATTCTGTTCAAAGCCCATACAGCTCCCAATGTAAAGTTTAAATGTTGCCAACACCAGCGTCAACGTGACAGTTTTCATTCTTGAGAAAGGAAAATCGTTCTTTTCTTTTAAAAACAATGATCACAGCCGGGCGAGGTGGCTCAAGCCTGTAATCCCAGCACTGTGGGAGGCCGAGGCGGGTGGATCACGAGGTCAAGAGATCTAGACCATCCTGGTCAACACGGTGAAACCCCGTCTCTACTAAAAATACAAAAAATTAGCTGGGCATGGTGGCGTGTGCCTGTAATCCCAGCTACTCAGGAGGCTGAGGCAGGAGAATTGCCTGAACCCAGGAGGTGGAGGTTGCGGTGAGCCGAGATCGCGCCATTGCACTCCAGCCTGGGTAACATGAGCGAAACCCCGTCTCAAAAAAAAAAAAAAAAAACAATGATCACAATACGGCTTGGGAACCAGCTGATCAGGAACTCAGACCGACCTACTTACCGTAAACAGGCACAGCACACACAGGGTAGAAAGCAGACAGCCCCACACATCCACAAGCTGTCCCAAATGACGGCCTATGGTCTATGAAAACTCCCACAACCTTGGGAAATCCAAGAGAGAGAAAGCTTCTCTCTGAAAGGCACAGAGAGGCTGGGATGCGGCATCCCCGTGCGCCTGTGCCCAACTCCGCTTCCCAGCCCAGGGCTCACCCCGCTGTGGTGGCCACAGCTTTGAGAACACCTGGACCTGTCTCTTTCACTATTGTCCAATCGAGCCCAGCAGCAAATCCCGCTGGCTCTACCCTCAAAATCTGTCCAGAGCACCCACTTCTTCCCGCTCCCCTGCTCCCTCCCGCTCCCAGACCCATGGTCCTTTCTGGGTTCTGGCAAGGACTCCCCACCAGGCCTGCTAGGCCCTGCAGCTTGTCTGCAGTCAGGGTGATCCCCTAGAGGTGAAGATGGGTCCCTCCTTCTCCCCTCAGCCCTCTGGGGTCTCCTGGCCTCCCTCCAGCAAAGCCACTGTCCTTACAATGGCCTGCAGGGTCCCCGTGATCTGCAGGGCCATAAGCCATGCCTATGATGACTGGTTCCCTGCCGACCCTTCAGCCCAGGGCCCCTAATTCACCTCTCAGAGCCTTTGTGTCAGGCCCCACCCCCACCCCACAGCTCCGGGTCCCCTCCTGGCCTTCAGGCCTTGCTCATATGACATCTCCATGAAGGTCCACCTGGTGTCTATTTCACGATGCAATGGGCCCACCCCTCCCTGCGCCCAGCACTGCTGCTGTGGCTGGCTGTGTCATTCACTCATCGACTGCCTCCTGATGCCAAAGAGTGGGACCTGGAAGGTGGTGTCCTGGTCTTGGCCCGAAGCCTCCCAAGCCTCCAGAGCCGCTCCTGACACAGCAGGCTCTCGGTGAGCAGGGCCGAGGAGCCCGCCGGAAGGAGAGCTTTCCTAGAGAAACTCAGATTCATGTGGGGAAACAAGAAAGGATGCCCTGCAAATTTCAATCTCAACTGTCACCTTTTAACAATCGGTTCTAGTGAATTTGCAGAGGGAGTGACGGTTCCAGCAGCAGAAAGGCCCCATGCAGCCTCCTGGGAGGAGGAGGCAGGAGGGGTTCCCACACGCAGAGGAGTTGGTGGACCCCCTGACTCAGGGAGGGGCATCACCAGGCAGACGCCATGCTCAGGCTGCTGGGGTGAGCATCAGGAAAGGCTGGCTCAAGCCACGGCCCCAGGCAGAGTCAGAAGCAGGAGGAAGGGAAGGCAAGAAGAGAGGGAGTTGCTGAGGATGCCGGGGGAGGGCACAGGGCAGAAGCCAGGCAGAAGGAGAGAAGCCAGGCAGAGCCCGACTTTCCACCAGGCTGGAGGGGACAGAGACGCTCTCCCTCATTAACACCAGGCTGGAGGGGACAGAGACACCTTCCCCCACTAAACCTGAGGCAGCTCCTTGGAACCCTCTTCTCAACCAGGCCCTGTGCTCGGCAGGCCCTCAAGAATAAGAATCCCAGCAGCTCAGCCCAGCTCCAGCCCCTCCCTGGATGGCAGGTGGGCTCCTCAACCCTCCATTCCCAAGGATGCCTGATGGCCACAGCCTGCCTTCAGCCAGGACCCTGCTGGGTGGGCTCGGCCTGGACCCCCCACCCCATGTCTCCCCTTAGTAATTTCCCATCCACCCCACCTGCTCCTTGGTCTCACCCCCACTCAGAACTGAGCCTGGTCTCTCTCCCCGGGGAAAGACCCCCTCACTGTGGTCCCTGAAGGAAGTCTTGAAGTCTTCCTTACTGTCACTAACAAGTGTCAGGATAACTTTTTAACAGAATCCAATATAGAAAAGCTTTTTAAGAGAAAAAAACAAGACTTTCATTCTCAGCAGGCTTCTGGGGAGTAGAGGCAGGGATGATCAAGGCTTGCGTTCGCTGCCCTGTGCACCTCCGAGCTCCCGCTGGGAATTAGTGGGGACGTTTTCCTCTGAAGAAACGAGGCCTAACCATGATGCACTCACTGCTTTCCAGTTTAGTCAGAACAAAATCAATGAAACCGTATATTCCAATGTCTCACTTATTTTTTACGTCATTTATACAAACATCCCTTGCATTTTCCTAGAAGGGATTTGATATAACTTACTACACACACAAGCACACACACGCCACACCTCCCATGATACATAAACATATCAACATAACGTGCAGCTTCTTATTGGAGTCTCCAAAAACTCTGTTAGTCCCATAGAGAAGGTAAAATTGTTACTATCTGCCTCTTGATAATTGTTTTCATGAAGAATTAGTGGCTTATCCAGAGTCACGTGGTAAATGTGGCTTTCTGGCTCTTGGACAAGGGTGTGCTCCATAAGTTCTACCATATCAGGAGCTATACCAGGCAGCCACGTTTGCTGGGAAAATTAACATCAGCATCGTGGGAAAGTGTCATGACATACTACTGATGAGAAAAGCTGTCTGTGTAACGGCAGGGTCTTCTGTGAAAAGTAAAAACCGTGTACGCAGAGAAACAGAAAAAGAACAGCAGGGTCTCACTTTTTCTTTAAAAATGAAGAGTGTGTGTCGCATGAGGAAAGAAGAAATGCCAGCTTTACAGCCACATACTGACTCTGGGTGCTGGACGTATGGATGATTGTTTTTCTTTTTTCTGACTAGATTTCATATACCTTTTTGATTTGTTATTAGAAAGAAAATGAAGGTGATCATTCTTCCAAGAGTCTGAACTTAGGGTGTGTTTTTCTTTTATTTGACTAGATTTCATATACCTTTTTGATTTGTTATTAGAAAGAAAATGAAGGTGATCATTCTTTGAAGAGTCTGAACCTGGCAGTATGTGTGAGTGAAACCTTCTTGTACGACACGGCAGCCTCCCCACCCAGATGCTGTTACCTTTCCCTAAGCTAGCGATGGTCTTTATTCCCTGGATTTGCATTCCTCTGGCCAGACACTAAGGAAAAACAAAGGGAAGCTTCCAACACCAGTTCCATTAACTCATAAATGCTATTTAAAGTCACCCAGGGTGCAAACAGACTGGTGTGATTTGGCCTCAGTTACCCATCTGACTCCTTCCCTGGGGTCCGCACTGCTGATAACCGGACGCCGGAGTCCACAGCCCCAGCACGGCCGGCCGTACCTGTTGATCTCCAGTGTGTGCACGCCGTAGTTGCTCTCAATCCTGTACTTCCCCGGTTCTGCCGCCTGGCAAATCAGACTGCCATCTTTGTACCTACATGAGGGAAGCGTGTTTTTAGTTTGAAGGCGGGGTTGCATTTTGTGTGTGTGTGATTCTGCCACAGCTCCCCCACACCCTCTGACGTGCTGCTGCCCCATTTCTGCACGTTTCCCTTAGAGCCTCAGGCGGGAGGAGGGCAGAGCCCTGGGGGTGAGGCCCCAAGCTCACCCTGGTTTTGATTTCTGAGATGAGAGCTGCATCGCCTCATTCAGACTCTCAAGGGATTCCCAACCTGCTCGATCCAAGATCTGCTTGGCCTTTGTTAGGAATTCAGGACTTGTCATTCCATAAGAAAAACTAGGGTGCTGGGTCCCTACGTAAGCTGTAATGTAGCTCATGTCTCAGGGAGCTCTGCAGGACCCAAGGCACTGCCCCTGGTGAAAAGAAGGTGGCTTCACGGCTCCACGGGGTGGGGGTGGGCAGGCAGGACCACATCCACCCCAGCACCTCCGCAGTAGAAGCAGGCGAATCTCAGCCTCCTGAGCCTGCCTTCCAAAGAACCACAGCATCCAGCCATCAGCCACGATGCGCTTGGCTGTGGCTCAGAGTCTCAACCCCACATGTAAATGCGCATAGATATAACTTTAGCAATACACATGGATACAAAAAGGGTCTCAAGGGCTTAAATATATAATTCTTCAATTATCACAAAGTTTGAGTAACTGCAGCCCTGCAGTCCCAAAGCTTTAGAGTTTAGGCCTTCCACTTAGGAGTCTTCCATATTTAAAAGCAGACGCTCGGCTTTGCATACAATCAGCAATCATGCACTCACCCTTGCAAAGGGGACAAGAGCCATGCTCATTTAAGGGAAGTAAGTGACTTTTAAATAAAAACCCTGTGGGCTGGGCGAGGCGGCTCATGCCTGTAATCCCAGCACTTTGGGAAGCCAAGGAAGGTGGATCACTTGAGGTCAGGAGTTCGAGACCAGCCTGGCCAATATGGTGAAACCCTGTCTCTACTAAAAATACAAAAATTAGCCAGGCATGGTGGCGCATGCCTGTGGTCCTGGCTACTTGGGAGGCTGAGGCAGGAGAATTGCTTGAGCCCAGGAAATGGAGGCTGCAGTGAGCTGAGATTACATCATTGCACTCCAGCCTAAGTGACAGAGCACGAATAAAAAAAAAAAAAAAAAGCCTTCTGAACAATTTGTTGATTCAATGTCATGAGAATAAACATGTCTGCCTATTAGTTGAAGCGGACATTCAGAGTTTCTATAAACGTATTTCTGCATAGAGTTTCAAGCCAAGTGGCCGCCAGCACAGGCTCAGTGGCGCTTGTCTCCTTAATCGGGATCTTCCTTAAAGAAAACGCAGAATAGCCCTTTAAAAACCCCTGGGAACAGAGCCCCTCACCACTGCACCACGGGTGTGGGAAATCCTTGCACGGTAAAGCAGAGCTTCACAGACATCCTCTCCCAGACAGTGTGGGACCGCAGCCGCACCAGGATCTCAGGAGCCCTGCTTATCCGCTCTTCAAACGAGTGCCTCTCCCAGGCCAGCTTGTCCTTCACCTGCCCCGAGAAGCAAGGATGGTCAGGTTTTCAGGCAGAGAGCCACACTCTGCCCGCGGGCACTCAGGCACCACACAGCCAAGCTAAGATCCGTTCCACGCGCCCCAGGGACCCAGCCACCCGGAGACCCTCCTACCATCTGCTGAATGGCGTATTCGTCCAGCTTCTCGCGGGCCTGGGAGCGTGCCAGGTGGACATTCTCCTCCATGTGGGCCAGCTCGCTGAGAAAACGCTGTCGCTTGGCCTCGCCATAGGCGGCCACCAGGGATTGGTACCTGCAGGAGCCCAGAAGCAGACTCATTTTCAGGAATCGCAGAGAAAACCACGTGAGCCCTGAAGGTTGGAAAGATCAGCCCGTCCCCTCCCCTGGGCCTTCCTTAAGTGTGTGCAAGAAGAAAACAGGAGAAATGCTACTTCTGCTCATTTGTATCTCTCTTCCTTTGACGAGTATGTTTTGGTGTGTGAATGCCATGCATGATGGAGTTGTAAAGAAGAACAGGTACATGATTTATTAACAAAAAATACAGGAGCCACATGCCCCCAACTTTCTTTCACCACTGAGAGTGCACAATTGCAACCACTTGGAGGCCTTAAGTGATGCTTTGGACAATTGCTGTAAGCACAAAAGACAACAGGTACCCACACCCACTGAGAGAGTCAGGAAGTTAATCAGAGTCTCTTAAAAACGGACATATGGTTACTCACCTTCGTGTGCACAAAAACTCACATGCAGCAGGTGCTCAGTAAACACCCGGCCACTCAGGGAATCAGGGAACCTTTCTGGATTTACAAAACAAAGGCCTTGGTGCTTTCAGAGGTCTGAGATTCAGCACAGTTAGGTGCTGCTGCGCTGGAGGTGCTTTTGACGTCAGTTCCATGATTTGAAAATTTAGGAAAATGGTGAGCTCCCATGTGTGAGTTTTCCTCTGCAGGGCAGTAAATAAAAACCATTTGTTTTCCTGGGAAGGAGACAGTTTCTGAGTGATTTTAAGATGGAATTAAAGTCTTCTGAATTTAAAAAATACAGATAAGAAATGTCCGAATGCTAAAAATAATAGCAATAATAATAAAGGATTAAATAAAGGATTCAGCATCTTCACTCCGTAGAAACTGAGAAATGTTCACATCCCTCATGGCTCCCATGCCATCTTGTGAACCCCACAAATCGCACCCCAACACGGGCAGGCGCGGGCTGCCTCCATGCTCCATGCTCTGAGATGCTCTGGAACTCGGCAGCAGCTCTTCCAGCCCCATCTCCCACTCTCACCATTGCCTTCCCAAGGTCCCGTGGAAATTAGGATGCTCGCTGTTCTGCTGCCCTCTTGGATTCTGTCCCACTCATGGGAGAATTCTCGCTGTCACCCCTTTCAAGCAACATTCTGTCCTTCCTCAAGCCCCTCCAATGCCATGTCTCCCGTGGAACCATTCCTCATCCTCCTCCCCCTGCTTTGAACCCCAGACCTCTGTTTATTTCTCTTATGGCCTTTATGGTCATCCTTTGCATACATTTTATCCTTCCCAGAAGAAAGGACTGGCTACTTCTTACCTCTGCATTCCCCAGACTCAGTACACAGAAGATGCCTAATGAATACTCAGTAGTCCAAGTCAGGCCGGGGAAGGTTCCTTCCCGGGTGGCAGGGACGGGAAGCTGCAGAGCCAGCCTGAGAAGGAGGTGGCAGAGGGAAAGGTGGCCACGCAGGGGCGCTGTCTGTGGCATCATGTGAGCTACCAAGAGCTGTTCGGCCAGGCCTCATCGAACAGAAAGTCCCAGTGTCGGAACTGGAGGGGACTGTGGCATCACTGCTGCCCAGACGTGGGGAGTGCGGTGGGAGAGCCGCTGTGGGTTGGTGGTGAGGCCTGTCCGAGGTCCAGGGTGCAGGGCCTCTGTCCGAGGGCCTTCCCCAATCCCACACATCTATGATGGGCCAGCGCCTCCCCAGCAGCCAATAAGAGTAAGGCCTGGTGTTAGGCGTTTGGGAAGTTCGTGACCAGAATTGCAGAAAACTCTGCAGCCTCTTTGACAGAAATGAGGCAGGAGGAACCACAACATATAACCATGCAAGGAATGATGATTGACCTCCTTAGGAATCCAGGCTCTCAGCCTGCACCTCCCTGTCCCGCTCCCGGTCAGACACACTGCCTTTCCCTGCAGTGTTTAGGGAACCGTCTCTTCGGGCCTCAGCCGTTCTGCACGCCCACTGCCTAGGACAGATTTCTCCCAACTCCTAACAGGCTGGCATCTGCTCCTCCTGTTTTCAGCACCAGGGTCTCTCCCTCAGAGACTCTTTCCGGGGGCCCCTCAAATCACAGCCCCCCCAGTCTGGTTCATGCTTTCTCATCCTCCCCTTGCAGAGCTCGTGCCACTGCTGTACGCACGTGTGTGCGTTGAATGACACGAGCCCTGCCCTGTGACTTTGAATCCCACTCAAGTGGGAAAATGCCCACTTGGTTCCCCCAGTATCCAGGTGCCAGAAGGAGTCCTAGGAATACGTGTTCAAGGAATGAGCGCAGACGTCACATGGCCTCAGAGGTCCCACAGGGAACAAGCCTTCTGACTGGGAGTGAATCCCACTGAATTGCAGGGACCCAGAAGACAAAGCCTGGTCGGTGCCACTCAGTGCTGTGATGAGCTCAAAGGATCAGACGTCCTCTCTTGTCGCTGTTTACATTTCTATGGGCTCTTTATGTTTGAGTTAAGAGAGCCTCAGCTAAATCTTAAGTCAACAGCTCCACCATCCCCTAACCCTGTATGATTCAGAATAACTATTTGTTCTGGAATTCCTCCCACATCTAGCCCCAAGTCAGGACATTGAGAAAATATTCCTGCCATTGGTGATCAGTTGACCGTGACGCCAGCTCACACGCACAGAGTAACGTCATCTGTCTTGCACTGCTGTAAATGACTAGCCCTGGGACAGGTGGCTTGCAAGAGTAGGCCCGTTTTTCACCCGGGACTGAAGGAAGACGTCTGAGGGATGTTTCCGATGGGTCATATCTTCCAGGAGGATGTGTTGAGTGCCTTCAATGCACTGATGTCTCTTCAGTATTTATTTTACACAGGGACATCAGCTGTAACTCACATCAGTGAGCCCACAATTTCATCTTTTGCAAAGGACCAACTTGTCCGGTGCATTAAATTAATATCCACCCTGAGAGGTGAGGGATAAAGACATGTAGGCGATGACACTTGCAGCCGGTGAGAGTGGTGAATTCCAATACGGGCTGGAATCGATGGAGCTGCTCATGTCACTCAGCACAGGCCTCGCTCGTCCCTCCAGGTCCTTCTGCATGACGGTAATAGACCAGGCTTCACAATAAATCTCAATTCGTGCTTGTCCAACTCATTGAGATCCCAACAACGTGTGTTTACTTTTAAAGGAGGGAAGAACTGACTTCAAAAAGATCTTCCCCATGGAAGTCATGCATGTGGTTGGGAGAATACAACGCTGTGGGGCTGCTGACGACGGTCTCACGGACAGCGTGAGGCGTGGGCTCACACAGCTGGGACAGTCCCTGGCCTTGGTCCCCGCCTCTACTACATACAAGAGACTGGAATTTAACGTGAGCATCCGAGGTGCAGTGAGAACACAGCCCATCACCAGTTACTCAAGCCTCTTCTCTGAGTGAAATTTGGTATTGTAAGAGCGTAGCCCAGCGTGTTTTAGTACAATTTCCAACAGCCAAGGCTGTCATGAAAGTCATTGCTATGGAAACCATGTGAATCACAGTAAGCCGCTCCCTGACCGTTCAAGTTACCACTTTACCAGGGGGGAGATTGAGCGATAGGAAGTTTATGCAATATGTTCAAGGTCACATCAATGTCTAAATGATAAAAATAAAATGGTAAGCTCAAGTGTTCTACGGTAGCCCCGCAAAACCTGACTATAGGTAGAAGAACCCTTTCAAAAGTAATCCAATGCATAAAAATCCGGAGTGTCTGAACATCTACGTTTCAAAGAGATTCTTTCACAAAAGAAATCTTCACTTTACACTAGAACTTATTTAAGTGGCAAAATTATCCTATGACATTTAAACATAGTTAAAATGTTTTAAAATAAAGGTTAATCTTCTTGGCTACACATTGTTTATATTCGACAGATTACTTCATCATTCTGAAACTTTCAAAATGAAACATGTTTCCTCAAATCTCATTTTTCCTTCGAGTTTCAAGTGCTTTGGAGATAGAAAATTCCCAGGAGTCGTAGGGAGATGAGGGAAAACAAAGCAGGTATAAAACAAAGCCATTCATTTCGTCCTTAAAAGATCAAAGTCATGTCACCACCTGTTTCTCCGTCATCTGGAAATAATTTTAAGACTGGCATTTTTATTAATCCGCCCCGTTCCTATGACATCCATGAGCTGCCTCTGTTGAAATGTAAAGCACGACAATTTATAGAATGCCTTCCCAACTCTTTAGCTTCCACATGACAACTGTTTAAAACCCTGGCTCCCACTTCGGAAGATGACCTTGCTTGAATCTGCAACCCTTCACGGCTGTTCCTGCATAGCTGCAAAGGTTGCAAGTGGAAATTCAGAATTAATCTCACGTGGCCAGGTCTTGATGTTTTCAAGCGTGCTTATCCCGCTCTGTGTGGAAAGGGGCTGAGCTCGGCTTCGAAGCCACAGGCCCCGGAGCTCTCAGCCCGGCTGTGACGTGTGTGAAACATGGAACCCTGGGGAGTGTCATGAGCACTCTGGACAGCAACGCTCTCTTCTGCAAAATGGTGGGAAGCTCGTGCCCAGTGGTTTTCTTGTTTGGATTAATTGAGATAATGGTGGTAAAGAGAAGCAGGTGATGGGGAAACAGCAGCAGTCTCCCTCTCGCCGCAGACCCAGCCTGTGTCCTCGGCCTTCTCTCTCAGCTAAGGTCGCTCTTCCCTCCCTGCCCCACTGTCCCGCCCCTGCGACCCCACGCAGGGCACCCGCAGAGTCGGGGAAGCTATGTGCTCACCTGTTTCTGCTCTCCCGCTCCTCCTCTTCCTGCGTGCTTATCCGCTTCGCGCAGATGCTGCAGGTGGTTCTTCCCAGGGACGTCTGGCTGGAGGCTCTCTCCGAGGAGGACTGCTGAGTCAGGGACTTCTGGGAAGACGTCTGGGTGGAAGCTCGCCTTCAGAAACAGGGACACCATTAGGAGACCCACACGCAGGCACAGTCGAAAATTTATCTTGACATGCATCACTTTCTCTCTACACGCCCCAAACCACACATACACACAGAGCACACACAAACACACACACACACAGGCCTACGAGAGGCATGCACTACACACAGAGGCACACATGCACACACCCACACATGTGTACATGCACACACATGCACACATACGCACGTACAGTGCACACATACGCGTGTGTACTCAAATAAATGCATGAATGCAGAGACAGAGCTGCCCGCAGGGACACGCCTGCCCACCAGCACACGCACACACACACACACACACTCGTGTGCACACATAAACGCACCTACACACGTGCACGTGCACCTGCACAGAGGCACACCCAAGCCCATGTCCCTGTGTGTCCACACCCACACGACCGCACACACCCGTCCTGGGTGCTTTCTCCCTGAGCTCACTGTGGCTGGTGCCAGCTCCCCTCAGAGCCAGCCAGTGCCGGCCACCGTCCTTCTGGCTCCACGCCAGGATTATATATATCTTAAGGGATCTGAGACTCCCCAAGGCTGCTGGGAGGGGCTGCAAATGTTTGGCTTTGTTTGGTACGAGGGGTAGCAACTAAAGAAAAGTACCCTGAGCGTTTCTAAATATAGGGTGTGGGTGACATGAGGCAGGCGCCTGGGCTGCAGAACGCCTGCCCGCGTTCCCTCCCACTCTTCGCCACAGCCTTCCAATCAGCCCATGACAATTGCAGATTTGCTGCCACACAAACAGCATCCACGGGGGCATGTACTGCCGTCCCGGACCTCCGAGAAGGCAGCCCCAGGGGCAGCCATTCGTTGGCTTTGGCACATCCATGATTGATGTAGCAAAATCACTCATATCACCTCCCATTCCATCTTTACTTTGCCACCCATTCACTTCTCTCCTACCGACAGCCTTTCCCACTAGTTTCAATCTCATTGCTCTTTATTTTTGGTGGCTTTTTAGATCCTAGTTCTGGAAGGTATGTGATGAGCAGTAAATTCAATGAGCTTGTACAAAGGACTTCCTGCCTCCCCACCTCAACCAGGAGCTCAGAGCTGGGCCAGCAGGACCTGCCAGGACATGGCCCCAGCTCCACGCAGTGCTGCTCCATAGCAGGACCTAAGCACAGGAGATGCTGCCACCCCTGCTATCTGACTCCCTGCACACCAGGGCCTCCCAGGGCTGACGGAACTGGAAAGGCCTGTAAGTGTCCGACCCTCAGCTCTGCGGGCCTCATCAGCGAACGTCTGCTTACTTCTTTGATGCATATTCGTCCAGCAGGTAGCGTGTTTGAATATTGCGATAGGACTGGTCGAAGTGCCTGTGTCTCTTCTGGTAGAAGGGGACGGCCACAAGGGACATCTTGGCGTGCTCCTACAAAGAGAGTCAAACACGGCACTGAGCTCCCTCAAAAGCATCGTGGGCCCTCTGCAATTTCTGCATCATTCCAAAGGGGAAAATGAACTCCAGCTAACGAAACCCACGTGGGAAGGGAAAAAAATGAAAGATTACGTAGGCAGAAATCATCTTAGACCAGCAGTCAGGAAGCTTATTAACTTCCCAGGGACTCAACTTCATTTTCTGTTTTCTTCCATAACAGTTGGAAGATTGGGCTGAGTGTTTCATTTAACCGTGAAGTCAGCAAGTATCCCTAGAACCACTGGTGTGTTCATGGCAAAGCTCAAAGCAAGGTGAGTGGGAAGGACAAAAATAATTAAAGCAGATTAGAAAAGTAAACAAACACTTAGAATACAAGAGAAGGTCCGATAAGAGCCAAGAGCCGGGGAGATAAAAGGTGTCCTGGGAACCGCAGGAGCAGAGGACAGCCGAGCAGCCCACGAGGCAGATGACATTTGAGAGGAGCCGTGGTGGACAAGCGGGACTGCGAGGCGGAAGTGGGAAAGGAGGGCGGCCCATGAGCAAATGTCAGGGCAGAGAGTCCAGGATGGTGGGACACTTGCAGGGGATGTGACCAGAAATCACTCTGGAAAGACGCAGCCACATGTGGAGGCGGCCAGTGTCTGCCTGGGGAGCCAGGAGTTGGCCATCATGCAAAGGGGTCATGGAAAAAGTGCCTGGCTGGAGGTGACCCCTGGACTCTGGCGTCTGAGGTCTCACTGGTTACGTAGACAAGCATGGCAGGAGGTGAGCGGGAAAGGGAGGACTGAGCCTGGCCTCAAACTTCGGGGATGTGGGGAGATTCGAACATGTGGAGGAAATTCTCCCCAAACAAGAAATAATGGAGCTCCATCCTTTCCTCTGGGATCTCGCAGCATGACAGGTATTAGACATGGCAATTTGTTGCATGCGTTCACCCAAAATACATAAAACACAAACATGCTGAGTTACTTGATCATCTCTACAAAGTTACATAGGGACCGTATTCCTCAATCTTCACAGTCATTAATTTCCCAAACAAGGTGCAAAAGGACTCCCAACTTGGGCTCAATTTTTGTCTTTTCTTTTTAAATGAGGAGAATCTGTCCTGATTTAAAGAGGGAACTCCTCAGCAGGGTCCCAGGGCACAGCCCCAGGGGTGCTTCCCACATCCCGGACCACGGGACTGAAACTTGGGCGGAAAACGGCAAAGGGCCACTCAGAGATGAGCTTGCCGTTGTTCAGATCTCCAGGGTATGTGCCAGAAAACCAACCACAACACATAAGCTTCCGCAAGGACACTTATGACCTGTTTCCTCTGAACTCTGCGCTCTCGTAGAATCACAGTACAGTAGAACGTGGAAGGATCCCTGGGGATTATGCAAACTCCAATTCTACAGGGACGAAAACAGGACACAAGGGCCAGAAGGGGAAATTCCTTGTCGAAGAGGCTGCCCCTGCCCCAAGGGCATCAACTACTGATTCCGGGCCTTTTACACGCTGCCACACTAACTGTCTCAATATTGCCTCTTAAAACCCAACTAGTCAGCCAACCACCACTACCCTTGGAGGGCCCAGCCGTGTTTTAAAGTGTGCCAGTATGCATTCGACCCCCAGGATATGCCAGAACATTGCACCTGATGGAACGCAATAAAAGCACATCTCCTCCACCCGCCCCGATACTGAAGGCAGCATCACAGTGAAGACGGTGGGTGCCCGGGTTTTGACGTCTGGTAGACCTGGGATCAAATTCTGGCTGCAGCACTCTGATGAGGCCTGGGTTGGCTTCCAGCTCCTCTAGCCCTGATGTTCCATATTGAATCTGCGTCACACATGGCACTGCCCCGGCATCAAGTAACAACGACCAAACCGGTCACTGGACCTGACATACTGCTGCCGTTATTGCAGGTCAGGAATTCTGCAGAGAGGAAAAGGTATCTGACAAAATCTGTGTGTTGTTTTACTATTTGAAATTCTCCCCAGCTGCATCTCAGTGGGATTTTCCAATGAGTTAATCAAGGTGGGTCTTCAATAAACGCTTCCTGCTTATAAGCCCATTTACTCTCTCTGGATTTCACCAGCAGGATGCAGGGAAGAGCTCACCGAGCTGAAGCTGGACCAAGGTTGGGGAACACATTTCAGCTTCAGTCCAGTTTCCTTTCCAAGGTTCTTCTGGGACTGACCTGACAAATACCAGGCAATCACTCCAGCAGACCCATGAACAATCCCCAGCACCTGCTGTGACACCAGGAGGTCACATCTCATCACAATATTTACTTATATTTATGCTGAGTTAAACTTCAGATGTGTTTATATTTCTTGGCAAAGGGAAGAGTCAAATATGACCTATTAGGTCAAAGGAGAGAATGAGCTACACTGAAAAAAGAGAATGTGCTGGATGGAATTCATCCTCCTTAGTCCTAAGATCTGGAACAATGTGAAACGGCTCACGTCTTTATAGCCCACGGCCTAGCTACCCTTCAACCAGTCAGGAACGTCCCATCCAACATGTGCGCACAAGCAGCACCACATGTATCACTGACTTGCCGCCGGGCCTGTGGCCTGGAAGTCTTCCAACACTTCATGTGCGAGGGCTGCACTTTGTGGTGCTTAGCGAGGCAGAGCTGGATCAAGTGCACACACTTCCTGCTCTCCTCACTCCCACTGTACCTGACGGTGGAGGGCTCCCCGAGGTGACTGTGGATGTGGGTAATAGGGCACTTTGCTACTTTTATCCCCACGTGCTTTCCCTGCTCACTTCATGCTCAGGACCATCAAAATCAGGAGGTGTCAGAGGCTCTGCAAAAGCCATCACCCTCAGTTCCTTCCACAAGCATGGGGTCACCTGCCCTGCACCAGCCAAGCCTGAATCAGAACACTTGGATTTCAGCAATGGAAACAGCTTAGAGCTCCTGGCTCGGAAGAGCAGCAACCTCGTCTTCTGTGCACGTGACTTCCAGTGCCGATGTGCCGTCAATTCCACTTTTACCAATCTCATGCCCAACCCAGAAAACAAGCGGGATGACACGCCCAGCCTAACACCCTGAATGTGTGCCCCTCCGCAATCTCTTCACTCTTCTGCAGACTGCCTATGTTAGAACTTCCCCAGCGTCCCTGACCCAGCCTGAACCACCACCTTCTGTCCTGGCTGGGTGTGATGATGTCTTTGGAAGCAAATCCCCACTGGCTCAGCACGTGCTGGGAGGCTGCAGCTCTGGTGGCAGGGAACCCTGGACAGAGCTTACCCAAATGCACCCTAGAGGTCCAGTGTCCCTTATCCAAAATGCTTGGACCAGAAGTCTTTCCAGTTTCTGATTTATTTTTCAGACTGTGAAGTATTTGCATTTATGCTTACTTTGGATTTGAGCAACTCAAATCTAAAAATCTGAAATCTGAGATGTTCCCATGAGCATTTCCTTTGAGAGTCACACCAGCACTCAGAAAGTTTCAGAATTTAGAGCATTCTGGATTTCTGATCAGATTTGAAATGACCAGCCTGTACTATCTATGACAATATCAAGAAAATGCAGCACCTGGGCCAATCGGCACCTCAGCGTCCCTCCACCATCTAGGTAGAAAGCTACTTTCCTTTTTAAGGAGCTGTCTCAGACATGTGTTCAATATCCCCTACACACACCAGAGGAAAAAAGGGAGAGAGAGAGAGAGAAAATACAGCCTTTCCTTGCAGGGCAGTTTCTGATGTGAGTCCACTGGGGCTCAGGGGCACTGGGAGGCTGGGACTCCAGCAGGGACCCTGCTGACCTTGAGCTCAGGGGCCTTGGCCCGCTCTGCTGTAAAACCGGGGTGCTGAGCAAGGTGGCAGCTAACACTCCCCCAGCTCAGACAGCCTGTGTGTAAATAATCCTGGAGCCAAGCTGTGCTGTTAGCACGGACCGTCCCCAGGGAAATATGACTCGCCTGGGTCACCAGTAGGGCCACGGCTGAACCCAGGTGCCAGCCGGGTCTCCTGACGGCATCCAGCCCACTTTCCACCACAGCCCAGCCCCCCAGCCACTCCCGGAACGCTCCTGACACGTTTAGGGATCATGACACCAGGATGAAACGTGCCCGGCCTCAAGTGCAGGGGACTGTGCATCCGATCGCCCTGTCCGAATCCCTTCCTGCGAAGAATCTGTGGAACCCATTTTTCATGTCACCAGGATGGGTTTTAATTTGCGAAAATGTTTGGAGTACAAAACCTTGACTTCCACTTAATGAAGGAAGTTGTTTGTACAGTTTAAAATGTCAAAGTCAACAAATATACCAAATTAAAGCATGTCTAGAGGCGAAATGGACTCTTGGACACACACTGTCGGCCTGTGCCCCACGCGGCTAAGCCCTTGGTCCCAAGGCAGGTTTTAGCTTGGGACTTGGTTTATTAAACGATGCCTTAAATTATCTTTGTTGTGCGCTTTCTTTGAGTCCTGTTTTACTTCTACTTAGTAAGAAAGGAAGGTGAAATGGAGAACTGGAAAACGCCAGGTGTCCCCAGCGACGGCAAACCCCTTCCTTCCGTGTCACCTCCAGTGCCTTCACGCGCCACCCCCCAGCCCCACTGTCTTTCTCCAGCAGGCTCGGTTTCAAGAGCACGCCCTGAGAAGGCACAGCCTCTATCAGCAGAAGGGAGCTGAAAAAGTCTCCAGTGTCACAACGCACCCAACAGCACAAAGAAGAAAACAGCCACCAATAAGAACACTGTCATTTTCAGGAAAAACTTCAAAGTCCTGACAAGGACTGTTCTTTTTCCTATACCCTGGATAATCCCGTCTGGGTCTAAGCTGAGTGACCCTCAACTCTTTTCCTTAAGAAAATATCCAGTTTTATTATTTCACACCTGTACAAGTCAGCCCTCTCCTCGGGGGAGGCTTTCATTTCTGAGAATCTCATGAAAATTGCAGACATCAATTCATTAACTGCCATGCTGAGACCAGGGCTAAGACCCAAAGCACATGCTTCAAGGGTGCTGAGCAGCACTTAGCAAAGGCCACAGCTGCGGGAAATAAAATAGCAGTTGAGCATAAAATCTCACCAAAGAAATACAGAGCCCAGCACAAATCGCTGTTTTCCAAGGTGAAGGATGCGTGCAATGGGCGATGGGGTGCACTGGCCCTCTCTTCTCGACTCTGAGGTAGAGCTACTTAGAAAACTTGAGTGCAACCAGCTTCTGCAGAAGTTACCAGTGCTCCCCACAAAGCCACAAATTAGAAAAGGAAAGAAGAGAAAGACACTTACTCAGACAGAAAGGAAAATCACAAGAAGGAGAGGAGCCCGGGCCTCTGGCTCAGCAAGCCACCCACGCTGCAGCTGAGGAGGGCAGAGAGCCTGTGCCTCCCTCCCTTTAAGGCCTGAGGAGCTGCTATATATAGACGCAGGGGCCTGCCTCTCCCACATTGATACCCGCATCATAAATCACCAGCCTGACCTCAGGAGGAAAAACTTCTTATTCAAACCGAGGGCGGGGGAAGTCACAGTTCAAAAGTAGAAAGTGTCCCTTCTGAGCCCCAAAGTGCACTTCCCCAGGAAACCTGGCGTGACCCTTCAGCCCCTGAGCCAGCGAGAGAGGGCAGGGCACTGACCTCCCCCACTCCTCCCTGCAACTCTCCTCCACGAGTTCTAATCTTGAGGTGTGAATTCTCAGACATATCTTCAATCCTTTGGACCTACAGGTTCCCTGGCACATTAACTGATGCTCCCGAAGCAGTCTTTAATAATGACTTGGATTTCAGGAAGCACTTGTGCCGTTCACAGGCCTGGACGCTGGAGTTCAGGTGCACAAACCCACGGGTCTGAGTGAGTGTGTGTGTATGTGTCCGGTCTTCACTTGATTGTATCTAGGGCTATTTTAGCAAGAACTGCCTACCCGAAGGAGGAGCGGTGCCTAGTCGGCAAGTTGGGGCTTATTTATAGCCATTAGTGCAGATGTACACCGTGTCTACACCACTGGGATCGCTGCAGGGTGTCTGTCGTTTTGCACAGCATGTGTCCAAATATAAATAACACACACCTGGCACGGTCCTGGACTGCAGCCTGGTCAGGAGGCGGGGCCTCGAGGGGACATCTCCATCTGAGGACCGGGAGGGCCACACTCCGGCTGCGCCTCGCCGCTGGGGCTGAGGACTTCAGCCCGCTGCCCCACCCACGGTGCCCTGCTCCCCAGCTCTAAAGCACATGGAATAACAACTTTCTTGCAAGTTTGTAGTGGAAATTAGAGAAACTATTATATGAGAATTGCCTAGGAGCCTTAAGAAGCTCCACGGCATCCGCGGCACAGCCGAGACCCAGCGAGCAGGTGGATGGAGGCGAAGATCAGATGCTAGAAAGATGTGAGCACAGCCTCCAGTCGGGCCTCAGAGTGCCCTGGATGCTGTATCGGGAGGCAAGTGTTTCTGTCTTCTTCCCCTTCATATTCCAATGGCCAAACATTTAATTTAATCAGTGTTTGTTGAGTGATTTCTTAGTCTATTCAGGCTGCTTACCTTAGTCTATGTGGCTTATAAAACACAAGATTTTCTTTCTAACAGTTCTGAGGGCTGGAAGTCCAAGGTCCGGGTACCAGCAGGCGCTGTCTGGTGAGGGCCTTCCTCGTTCTGGAAAGGCGCGGTCCCTGTGTCCTCGCTGGGTCGAGGGGCGGGGCCACTCTTGGGGCCTCTGTGTGAGGACACTGATCCCAGTCGGGAGGCTCCACCTCCATGACCTTGTCACCTGCCAAAGGCCCACCTCCTCACACCATCATTTTGGGGGTTAGAGTATTAACCCATGTATTTGGGGGTGCAAACATCGAAACCAGAGCAAGCGGTGTTTCCTTCGCATTTATCAGCATCTCCTTCCCTAGGGAATCTAGTTCTCAGGGACCTGAGGGGCCTCCATTTGAGCCCCTCTGCCCTCCTGCCTCTGAGTGGCTGACACGGGAGGGAAGTGATGGTGCCCCACCCCTTCAGGTGGCATCTCAGTCCTCTGGGTCCCAGTCCTGGCATCTCAGGAGGGGACAGTCTAACCCAAGGAGGAGCCTCTCTGAGAGAAAGAAAGCCTCAAAGGAGGATGGCTCACCTCAAAGAGGCTTTGCGGTGGCAGCCACAGCATAGAGGGGAAGGGCAGGTGCGGCCTCCACGCCCTCCCACAGCACAGAGGGGAAGGGCAGGTGTGACCCTCCACGCCCTCCCACAGCACAGAGGGGAAGGGAGGGTGTGACCCTCCAGGCTCTCCCATAGCACAGAGGGGAAGGGCAGGTGTGACCCTCCAGGCCCTCCCACAGTACAGAGGGAAAGGGCAGGTGTGGCCCTCCATGCCCTCCCACAGCACAGAGGGGAAGGGCAGGTGTGGCCCTCCACGCCCTCCCACAGCACAGAGGGGAAGGGGCGGGTGCTGGCCCTCCACGCCCTCCCACAGCACAGGGGGGGAGGGCGGGTATGGCCCTCCATGCTCTCCCAAACCAGAGGGCGATGAGGCAGATAATTCCCCACAGAGCATGTGTCGCGGGCTGCAGAGGGGAGAATCAGCACTGCCTCTCATTCCCAAACCCTGAAAACCTGGTATCAGGAAACAGGCCCACTTGAAACAAGAGCGTTTTGTTCCTTCTTTTTTTTTTTTTTTTTTTAACGGAGCCTCGCTCTGTTGCCAAGGCTGGAGTGCAGTGGCAACCTCCACCTCCGGGGTTCAGGCAATCCTCCCACCTCAGCCTCCCAAGTAGCTGGGATTACAAGTGTGTCCCACGTGCCCAGCTAACTTTTTTTTTTTTACTAGAGACAGGGTTTCACCATATTATTGAGCAGACTGGTCTCAAACTCCTGGCCTCAAGTGACCCGCCCATCTCAGCCTCCCAAAGTGCTGGGATTACAAGCGTGAGCCACCACACCCAGCCCTGTTCCTGTTCTCTGTCATTAGAATGTCTTTCTTCCTAGTTATGCTAGTGCAGGTTTGTATTTAGAATTTAAACCTGAAGAAAATCACAACCACTTAGATGAATTAACTGCAATGTTTAAATGTGAACCTTCTGAAAATGTTGATTGTGAGGGTAACCTTGTTTAGAGAAATAAAATTGTCACCTTCTTAATTTCCAAGAAGTTCAATAGATGTCTCTTGGAGGCCGTGCTGATTCCGTTAATTGATGCAATGGGTCACTGACATTCGAGGAAGCGTCTTCCTTCTAGTATTTCACTCTAAGTCAGTTAAACCCGTGTCCACACAAGGTAGCGGCTCAGTAGTGAGGAATCCTTTATCGACGTGAATTAGCACAAACTCACAATGTTTCCACCATTTCTGAACCATTTTCTAGGAAAGTAGAAAAATAAATGCTTATGTTTCCTTAGCTTCTTTTTCCTTTTCTGCATAACTTTGACTGTATTTTATACTCCCTAGTAAGTTTACCTGCTACCTCTTTTGAGGCCAATGTTATTGCACCTACACATCTGTTTTGAGAGAAGAGCTGCCCAGTTGCACCATCTTACTCTTCCCTAGACATTCTCGCCACAGCCACCTCCAAAGTGTGGGCTGCTTCTCCCCAAAGGTAGCACATTCTCTGTGCTTAATTAAGTTTTGAATTAAGTACCCAATGAATGGATTCAAGAGACATGAAGAACTTACTATTGTTAAGTATAATAGTTAATAGTAGCTCAGAACTAAACAGAAATGACAAAGCAAGGCTATATTTAGTAATTCTTTGCCTTAGTTATCCAGAACAATGAACAATCCAGATAAAATGCAGAGTTAGAGATGCACAAAGAGTAATGAAAGAAAGAGATAAAAACAGATAAGTGAATGGACATATTAGCTGATAAGCAGGTGAAGAGACAGACAGATGATGATGATGATAAGTTAGATAGATAGATTAACTGATAAAGAGATTGATAATATATAAATTAGATGATAGATGATAGAGTGATAGAAAGAAAGATGATAGATAAATAGATAATATGTGATAGATGATTGATGATGGAGATGACAGATAGATCAATGATGGAGATAGATAATAGATAGATAGATAGACAGACAGACAGACAGATAGACAGAAACAGATAGGTTATACATAGAAAGATGATACACAAGACAGCTGTGAGAGCAGCCAGTGTTTCAGGGGCCAGTCCTAGTGAGAACTGTGCTTCCTGAAGTGGGCACTCTCTCTGCACATCACTTTCTATCTCTGGGCACTTGACGATTCGTGGCTGGGTTGAGGTAAGGAAAAGGAAATAGGGCTGCTGTTGAGAAGCAGAGGAAACAGCAGAGCTTCCTGCAGTACTGTGAGGTACAAGAGGCTCAACAGACATCAAGCTCAAGAAACAAATAAAACTACACCAAGTCACATCATAATCAAATTGCCTAAAGCCAGTGATTAAAAGGAAACCTTAAAACAGGAAGAGAAAAAGAAACACAGTATATGTATAGAGAAGCAAAGATAAGAATGACAGCAGACTTCTCATCAGAATGATGCAAACAGGAAGACAGTGACAGAGTATCTTCAAAGTACTCAAAGAAAAGACCGGCAACCTAGAATCCTATACCCAGCAAAAAAAAAAAAAAGTTCTTTCAAAAATGAGAGTGACAAAGCTTGGGTAGTGTCAGTGGAGACTTGGTGGGGATCCCAGCAGGAAGGAGGTGTCCCTGCCACACACTCTGATAAGGGAACCTGGACTTCTGGCCCATCTCATCATGTGCCTGCAGTAATGAGACAGCACCTCTTTCCTCTGCCAGTATGGCGCCTGATAAAATACAGCAATATAAATAAGATCCAGAGTCTCTTAACATAATACCCAAAATGTCTAGGTTTCAATCAAAAATCACTCCCTCTTACTTTACGCAAATAACCTCCTCTCCTAATCCACAAAGTCAACTAAAGCCAAGCAGAGGATCTCCATCAACTTCCCATTATCCCAAGGCTTCTCCCCCCGAGGCTGACATCCCTGAGCTGAAGACCCCATTCCTTCACGGTGTTTCGGATGGGGATGCGGTCCATCCCTGACACCTGTGTCCTCCATGACTGCATCACTGTTGCTCAACTGGGTCCCTTCCCATCATTATTTGAACATTTTTCAGGTCTCTCCTAAACTGAAAAGCAGCAAACAATAAAAATCCTTTCTCAGACCCACTTTGTCCTCCAATGCTGCTCTCTCTTCACAGACAGTGTTCTTGAAAGAGTTGTGTCTAGTCACATTTTTTCCATTTCTTCACTTTCCACTAACCCTATTCCAACCTCCCTTCTACTCATATCACATCACTAACCAAAATAGCTCTAAGCCACCAATGACCTCTGTGTCACCAAATCCACAGGACATTGTCAGCTCTCAAGTTACATGACCTCTCCCCGTTAGCTGGTCCACTTGACCCCCACCCCTTCCTGCAACACTCTTTCCATTTTCTTTCTTTATCTGTTTTCTTCTTCCACCCTCAGCTGGCTCTGTCTCCTTCAGCCCACCATTAAGTATGGAAGTTTCTCCAACGCACTTCTCAAATCACTCTTCCTGTCTAATCCCCTGCTCCTTCCTAGGCAACCCCAAACACATGCTACGTAGGAATGGCTTTAATTACCCTCACCTCCCGGATGGCTTCCAGAGGGAGTCTGGGTTCACGTTGAGCTTCCCCTCACACCTCTTTTTGAATGATAAAATGGAAACTTAAACTCAACAGGTCAAACACTAAACGGAGGAGCCCACTGCTCCCCACCCAATCTCTTCGTCCAGTGTTTTCTACCCATGAACAGCTCATACTAGAAAACTCTAACACCTCCCTTGGGCCCACACAGCTTTAAAATTTTCCCTCCTAAATACCCCCTCACATGTATGCACTTCACTCTACTCTGTTGCCATCCAACTCGTCCAAGCTTGACAGTGTCTCACCAGGGTCTGCAATAGTCTATGCCCCCCACACTCCCACTCATCCCCAGGCTAGGGCAGAGGCCCTCCTTCTCCCAGACTCACACTCATTTCCAGGCTAAGGCTGAAGTCCTGAACCCCCCACACCCACGCTTATCCCCCAGGCCAAGGCCCAAATGAATGTCTCAGACTGCAGATCAGAGCTCGTCACCCACACACCCCTGAGAGCCACTCATGGTTTGTTGTTGTCGAGATGGAGTCTCACCCTGTAGCCCAGGCTGGAGTGCAGTGGCACAATCTCGGCTCACTGCAACCTCTGCCTCGCAGGTTCAAGCAATTCTCCTGCCCCAGCCTCCTGAGTAGCTGGGATTACAGGCACCCACCACCACGCCCGGCTAATTTTTGCATTTTTAGTAGAGACGGGGTTTCACCACGTTGGCCAGACTGGTCTTGAGCTCCTGACCTCAGGTGATCCACCTGACTCGGCCTCCCAAAGTGTTGGGATTACAGGCGTGAGCCACTGTGCCCGGCCGCCACTCGTGTTTTAACAAGCAGCAGATGTGCCGTGTGAAGCCCTGTGTGGCCCGGCTTCCACCCCACTCTCCATGATGTTCTGCACGTCAGTGGAGCTAAGCTCCTTGCTCCCCCAGCCCCCACCCCACACAGGCTCTTTCCCATTCTTCAAATTCCACACATGGAGTCCTGCTCCCTGTCTCAAAATTCAGCAGAAGCATTGATACTTCGGATCCCTTTTCTGACCCCAGTTGAGTTAACTCTCCCTTGTGGCATATTTGCTAAGAGCTGTGTTTCCCTCCGTTATGTCTGCAGCGTGGTTCACGGGAGGGCTGACTGGCCAGCCTGTGTCACCTACTGGACCATGAGCACTGGGGGTTCCTCTGACCAGGGAGATCCCAGGACCTCACTCAAAGCCCCGCACACACAATGCACTCAACAAATATTTGCTTACTAGACAAACAAACCAAATAAACTAGCTAACCTGTCTTCTGTAGTAGCAGCAAGACATTAAGCAGTGATAAAACTGATATTCTTCCCAAACCAAGGCAATTAGATCGCTTGGAGTTTGGGCATCACACAGCGTCTCTGTAATACGGTGCAAAGACTTTCCATATTTTGTTAATCAAAACATATCCTAGGAGACCTGGCAGCAGGCCATTGCTATGTGCCAGGCAGATACCATACGTGCAGCTGCTTGCATAACCCCCCTCGTACCATCCGTCCACGCGGTATGGGCTACCGTGGCTCCAGCCGGGGCATGAGGAACACAAAGCCCAGCTCAGGGTGGTCAGAAGTGTCCTCTCCAACCAGCAAGGCTCATCAGGACGTGGTAGGGACGGAAATGTTCTCAGTGGACAGGAGACACAGCAAGTCCACGGAGACCTAATGCACGCAAGGAGAGGAAAGTCAGACTTCGGTCATTATTCATTTGTCTAGGCAACTAGAGTTTCCTAAATCTTGATGAAATTCAGGGTTAAATGTGATTCCTCATGCAATACTCCTGGCTGTGTTTTAAAGCTGTGCAAACTGCCCATCTGCTGAGTCAGTGCCGTAAGACAGGAGGTCTTTCTCTTACATTGTCTGTGCCAGATGACCAAAGTTTATGCAGCGATGCTGCCTGGCCTAGGTTTGTACCTTCACTCTGACTAAAACGGTGCCTTGCACATTGTGGAAGCTCAATAAATACATTTTCGTTCAGTGGAAAAGCATGGCTTTCATCCTGTGGCGATTACGGATGGGTTTCCATCTTCGGAGGCGGTGACATGTGGCCCCCAGCTACTGGGGAGCTTATCTCCAAATGGCATTCTGTAATCACACCAAGGCTGGGCCAGGCCCCATCTGGCCAAATTGCTCTGAGCCCGTTGTCAAGGGCACTGGCACTGGGCCTGGTTTTCTGTTTGCTAATCTGTTGTTGAAGGTTCGTGCCCTGTGGAAAATCTCGTCACCCATCTGAGGCCCTGGCTTCCTCATCCATAAGGCAAGCATGGGATTAGATGATCCTCTGTAAGCCCCAATGTGCTATCCTTTCAAACCTGAATGATGGTGCTGGGGAAGGGAGCCTTAACACGCACGAACAGGACGACCAGCTGCCCAGCTCAGAGCAGGATCCAGGAAACGGGACCCAGAGCGCAGCGAGCCGTGCCCGGGGAGGATTCCGTTCTGAAAGTGCTTGAAGGCTTAGCAATCACAAACAATGCAAACAGGCCGTGTGTTCATAAGAGTGGTTGTAATAAAATAAACAAAGATGTGAGGCATGACAGCCCTTCACTGGCTGTCAGGGCCCCCCAGTCCTGTGAGGAGCAGGAGGTGAGTCACATGCCCGAGGGCTCCAGAGGCTGCCGGGAGGGCAGACACCAGGATAGGGCAGACGCCAGCCCCAGAGACATCCCAGACCTGGGCAGAGCAGTGGAAACCATCCCCCCACCCAACCCCGCACTCCACCCTGCAAATGTGGAAATGGAGGCCCAGACAGGTTTAAAAATGAGAAACGAAAGACAGGGGTCACATTGCTGTGCATTAAAGGATTTGGACTAAAATTTAAATATCTTGATGTCTGTCTAGGCTTTGTGATGCTACCTCCAGGAGAGGAAAGGGGTGCAGAAAGCCAGGTGGAGGCTCAGGTAGGGCCACAGCCCAGGTGGAGGCCCAGGTGGGGCCAGAGTCCAGGTAGAGGCCCAGGAGGGGTGAGGCCAGAGTCCAGGTGGAGGCCCAGGTAGAGCCCCAGGTGAGGCCAGAGTCCATTTCTGCAGGTGACGCGAGCCAGACCCCTCCTCAGGTAGCTGACAGTCCCGACTTCCGCACTGCCAGTCAGGCTCTGTGCGGGACTGGTGGGGACACATTCGAAATCGGTTTCTCAGGCCAAAAGCGTTTTAAACTCATAAAAGTCAGAAATGGCTATGTGAATCCAGTGTCCTGTCTTTAATATTTCACTTCACCGTTGCATCATGGAGGCCTCATTCCTGGGTAAACATGAAATGAAATGGGAGGACCCTGGGACTGGAGGGAGACCGTGTCTGCCCATAGCTGGGAGTTTGGCTGGGGCCAAGCTGCAAACACCACCGGCACCAGCACCAGCAAGTTTTCCCAGGAGGCCGGATTCTGTGCTACCTGAAGCCAAGAGCATGCCTAGAGTTCACCTGCGGCTGGTCCTGGTGCCAGTGCGCCTGCAGACTCAGCTGTGTTGGCAACTGCACCTGCCCAGGTTGACCTGGCACAGCAGGGCTGCAGCTGAAGGAAGCCTTCTTCTCAGGGTTCAGCACAGGCCCGGGACTAACACTCACCGCCTTCCTCCGGCAGCTAAGCTTTTGGACTCCCCTCTGGTTTGGAATGGCATCAGCACCGACGAGCCATCCCTTCTTCAGGGCCCTCACTCGATCTCCAGCCCTTTCAGCTCTGGTGGGGGCTGCGTCCTCACCAGCTGCACTCGCTAGCTCTGTGACATTGGACAAATTACCAGGTAAATGAAAGGGGATGAAAATGAAGGAGTTGGACAAAGGCACCTCTGAGATCCGTCTCTTCCCCAAATCCCACGATCCTGCTACAATTAGGGACCATACTTACCCAAACTGAGACCGTGTAAGAGTGAAACGATCAATAAACACTGCGGGACAACAGGCACGCACCTACTGATGCCCTAATTATTATTACTGTTTTATCTTTTGAGACCGAGTTTCGCTCTGTTGCCCAGGATGGAGTGCAGTGATGCGATCTTGGTTCACTGCAACCTCCACCTCCTGAGTGCAAGCGATTCTCCTGCCTCAGCCTCCCAAGTTACAGGCGCACACCACCATGCCCAGCTAATTTTTTGTATTTTTAGTAGAGACCGGTTTTCACCACATTGGCCAGGCTGGTCTTAAACTCCTGACATCAGGTGATTCTCCTGCCCTGGTCTCCCAAAGTGCTGGGATCACAGGTGTGAGCCACCATGCCCCGCCTGCCTTAATCAATCAGCACAATCAACACAACGAACACCCCGGTGCAGAAGTAGTTGATATTTTACATTTTTCAGAAAACTCTGTGCATTTAGGAGATATTCCATAGAAAATGAAATATTGGAAGACAGTTACTCCCTCTGATAATATTTTTTTCTCCAAAAGACCATTATGTTTCCTTCTAGACTGATTAACAGCTGAGTGCTATTCAGGTTTTGCCTGTTTTCCCCAAGAGCTCTGTATTTGATTATTTTCTTCTGTAGACAGGTGGTGTTTTGACAGAATCGCCTCACTAAACGTGGGCTTCTCATTGCCATTCTCCTTTAAACATTTCTTTTTTTTTTTTTTTTTTTGAGACGGAGTTTCGCTCTTGTTACCCAGGCTGGAGTGCAATGGCGCGACCGGCTCACCGCAACCTCCGCCTCCTGGGTTCAGGCAATTCTCCTGCCTCAGCCTCCTGAGTAGCTGGGATTACAGGCACACACCACCATGCCCAGCTAATTTTTTGTAATTTTAGTAGAGGCGGGGTTTCACCATGTTGACCAGGATGGTCTCGATCTCTTGACCTCGTGATCCACCCGCCTCGGCCTTCCAAAGTGCTGGGATTACAGGCGTAAGCCACCGTGCCCGGCTAAACATTTCTTAACAGAGACTTCCCCACTTGTAAAGGACCCCAAGAAAAAATGCATGGATAATACATCAGTGGTTAAAATTCCTACATTAATAGAGAAGTTTTTTACGTAAAATTTTAATTTCACTCAATTATATATAAAACTGCAAATACGTGTGCTTATGGCCTAAAAGGACTCAATTACTCATAAATTAAAAGATGACCTTCTTGAGTTAAATTAAGGGATGATTTCAGAAAACTGAGCAAATCATTTTCAAAAGCATACATAAATGAGAGTTGATTTCTACCCCTGGAGAGGAAGAAGCTGTCTCATTCTTTTTTATTGTTAAAAACTGTTCCTGGGAACTGACAGATAATACACACTCTATAAATATTTCTTTTTTTTTTTTTTTTTTGAGACAGGGCCTTGCATTGTTGCCCAGGCTTAAGTTCAGTGGTGCCACCTCAACTCACTGTACGTCCGCCTCCTGAGTTCAAGCAATTCTCCCACCTCAGCCTCCAAGTAACTGGGATTACAGACATGCACCACCATGGCCCAGCCTAGCTCCAGCTAATTTTTTTTTTTTGAGACGGAGTCTTTCTCTGCTGCTCAGGCAGGACTGCAGTGGCACAATCTCGGCTCACTGCAACCTCCACCTGCCAGATCCGAGTGATTCTCCTGCCTCAGCCTCTTGAGTAGTTGGAATTACAGACACACACCACAGCACCCAGCTAATTTTTGTATTTTTAATAGAGACAGGGTTTTACCATGTTGGTCAGGCTGGTCTGGAACTCCTGACCTCGTGATCATCCACCCATCTCAGCATAAGTCACCGCACCTGGCCAATTTTTCTATTTTTCGTAGAGACAGAGTTTTGCCATGTTGGCCAGTCTGGTCTGGAATTCCTGACCTCAAGTGGTCTGCCTGCCTCAGCCTTCCAAAGTGCTGGGATTACAGGTGTGCCCAGACAATATTTCTTGATGTGGATCTGTCAAAGAAAATAAAAAACTCAGTTAAGAGATGGAGGTCAAGTCAGGAATGAAACCTGTGCTAATTCTGTAAAAAGTAGAGGTAAGCATCAACTATTACCTTTCTGGATGTACAGATGAAGTGATGTTAATTTATTGAAAATAAACAATATATAAGCATGTATAATCATATGACTCAAATCATTCTGTTTTTTAAATTCACTGTTACACATTATCATCATTTGCACATGATCAAATACTATTCCTTTAGATTAAAGCTTAAACTTTTGGTCTCAGAATCTCTATGCACCCTTAAAAAATACAGATTTTTAAAAAAACTATATTTAGGTAGGTTATATCTACTTATATTTACCACATTTGATATTTTATATTTTTATAGTATTTAGTTATTAATTCATTTTAAAATAATAATGATTCCATTATAGGTTAACACAAAGAACTTTCTTAAGAAACTATTTTTTGAAACAAAAAATAAGCAGAGTGAAAGTATTTTATATTCTTTGCAAATCTCTTTAATGTTTGGCTTAAGAAAAGACAGCTGGATAGGCACTTTTGCATTTAATCTGCTGCAATTCCATTTTCGATTGAAATATATGAAGAAAATCTGTGTCAAGTAGCTGTGTAGTCGAAGAAGAGGATAATTTTAGTCGTCGTTTTAGATCATTGTGGATAGCCTTTTTTACTACTGTAAAAATCTAACTTCTTAGAGATTAGTTGCAGTGTGGAATCTGAGATTGCACTAATGAATTTTTCACAGTGTTCTATTAAAATATTTTCATCCCTCTTGCACTTTGAAGGGATCTTTTACCATTTATGATTTTGTAACATCACGCATTGGTCATTTGGAAAATAATAGTTCAGAGTCATGCAGATATTCCAAATTTCATGATACCGCTGTGGGATACATACACATTGCTA